TGCTGACTTCAATGGACTGTTCATGTTAGAGATGCGGAAACTGATCAGTAATAATATAGAAGTCTAAATATTTATATATGCTTATATTCATTCACTGAAATAGCCAAATTGTAGTGTGTGTAGATATATAGATACAATATAAGTATACATGTTGACACATTTTCAGTGACATTTCTTGAGGGCATAGCTGTCATCATTCTGTAAAGCAGAACACACATGTACCTAACCCACATGATTCTACATCCATATTAATCCAGTGTTAATTAATTTTCTTTATACATCATTTCAACTTCACTGCACTGTTCTGCGCATTTAGCTGGATGATAAATACACGCACACCTTGCTACGCTGCTATTCATAAACCAGAAATAAGTACTTTACTTCATATGAACAGGTATCCCCCATATTACACTCTTTTTTGGAAGGTGAACCTACAGCAATGTCATGCTTCCATCAGTACAAGGTGCCACCCTGTGAAATATATCTGAGATTAATTATAGAAGCTAAAGAACAAGATGCTTTCATCACTGTCTTGGAAGCCTTTAGAACCGACTCGCTATCTCATGTTAACTGAATGGAGTTTTCAAAAAGGAGAATCTGATTTTATTTGCATGCATATCTCAATACAAAGTACAGACTAACTTCTTTGAAGTTCTTCTTCAAAGCAGCTTCAAAGGTGGGCCTCTAGTTTGTAAGGAGATATACATGTAAATAAAATCAGATTCAATTAACTTTTTAATTTGCTTCTTTAACAATAACATTGTTCCCAGTAAAACACTGTTACCCTTGGAGCACTTCAGTCAACAAGTACGTACAACTGCTACCACTGTAATGCTTGTTGGTGTTGTCAGAAAAAAGCCTTATAAAGGAAGAAAAAAGCATTTCCCAAACTGTGAATCATTATCACAATACAAAATTATGCAAAAGCTCAGCTAAATGGAGATGATCCAAACCACACTTTTTTTTCTTGGTGAATATATGTAATCTTTATTTGATTCCAGGAAACAGTGTTATCTGAAATAGGATTTGTAGTATCAAATCAAGACCACACTACTACCTTTGATTCTTTGCTCTTAACTTACTATTATCTGTTACAAGAAATTAATTATTCACTATAAAATTACTTTCACTATGAAAACATACATGAAGTCTGATGCTTTCACAATTATCTGCCCTTGTAGGCTCTGCTAAATCAGACATAGAAGTAATAGAGACATTTTAATAATGATTCTAATGTCGTGCAGTGTGCAGTGATAGCAAATGTACTTGGAGCAAAACACTGCCTGCGTGCTAAAATTGATTGTAGGTCTCTTCCGGGGTGTCCCAAGGAAATCGCCCACTGTTTTTGTAAGAGTAACTAAGTCAATGTACTTGATCCCTCATACTGAGAGACTAAACTGAAGCAGGGTTGACTGTGGAATCCAACTGCTTTCTGAATATAAAAGTAATTTTATTTTAAAAATGCTTATATTAGTGATGGAAAGATTTTCCCTTTACTTAAAAACAGCCCATAAGACCTGCTATTTCAACTGCTTTGGTAGAAACAAAGGATACCTAGTCACCTTCTGTCCCAACTGTCAAACCTCTTTGCTTTATTCTGCACTCACAGAACACCATTAATCACAGGGGAAAAGCAAACCACACCTCTAAATACAAACTGCAAGGTGGGTACATCTACTTGCTTATATAGCATGTGAGAAATGAGCTGAAGGAACACAAACATTTCCAGAATTACCCTGCAGAAACAGTATTTATCTCATACAAATCTCCCAAATAGCTACAGAAATCTGTCTGTAAATCTTGTTTTTTTCCAGTTTTTTTTTTTTTTCCATTTTTTTTAGCCCCCCCCCCCCCCCCAGTGTATGTACATATATGTTTGTGTGTGAATGAGGATTCTACTTGGGCAGCCCTATGGCTGAGAATTTGTGACTGGCTTACAGCCTGTGTGAATTTTGCTAGCTCTTGTTTGCCTGTAACGCGTGCCAAACTAAATATCAGAAGCCTTTTGTATTAAAGAATCAAAAAGATGGTAAACAACTGTTTCTGCTTCTCTACCTTTCCCTGAAGTCTTGTACCACCACCTTTCTGTTTAATGTATCTCCAATGTTACAGAGTTTTCTTTCTTCTCACTTGTGCCGTTTTTCCTATGGGACTTATAGGTTACATGTAAACACCCTTAGATTGTTTATTCCCCTGAGTGAACTGTCAGTGTATCAGTGATAGCCTCCGGTACAGAGCTCTTGCAACAAAACTGTTCCTAATGTGTCAGAACTGATCCAGCTCCTCAGACCCAAGCTGTGTCCTGCTGCAAGGAATTACACTGCAGAACGACCTTCAGGGGACATTTGGTCCCTGTCCTTCATCTGAGAGTCATTGCAAATGCAATCTCCCTTTGACAGCACCCCTTTTTGGACTCACAGCAGCCATTGAGTCTCACAACTGCAGTGTCCCACGGAAGTCTTGATGAGGCACTGTTCTATCTAATAGCCCCGTGAGTCTAATTCAAGATCCATAAGAAGGTTCAGGATCAGGGTACAACTGGAGAATCAGTTTTTTGGTATCATAAAAGGTCCAGACAGAGGTAGGGAGGCACCCTAGCTGCACACCTGCAGCATATCCCTGCCGAAACCAGGACACCATGCGATAGCTTTGTATTGAGACATACCCTTGCAAACACCAGTAAAGCTTTTGGCCAATGTTTTCACTCTGGGTGATGCGGATTATACCACTCTTCACAGCTGGCACGTAAGCAACGTCTGAGAGTTTTCATCAGAAAACATACAGTTATGAACATGTTTCTTAGGTAAAAACTGAAATCTCATTGCAAGTAGAAGAAATTCAAGTTGACAGACAAATTATAGAGATAGTTGAGAAGTTCAGCTCTCTAGGCAACAAACTACTGTCACATGGGGGAAAACGCCTCAAGCTACCAGCCATAGCTAGGAAAGATGTGCCAAGCATTCAAGTCCACAAAGCCATCAATGACAGGGAGCACTGAAGAGACCAGTGATGACCAGAAATGCAATTGTTTGAGTTCCTCTACAAGAGAGACAGCACTAGGAAATAGACTTGGGGGAGGGGGGGGGCTGAACTTATTAATTACTAAGGCTAGGTAGGCACACCCTGCTAACGTTGCTTGCCTTGAAAATTAAGTTCCTGCAAGCCAACTACTCAAGACCGGAATCAAGGTCGGAGAAGACAGAGAGCTGCATCAAACTAAACGTGGCAGCAGGGTCCTCCTCATTTAACTTGGATCAATAACCCCCCGGGAACACCTGTCGCGGGGATGAAGCTGTACGACAGAAGAGCGGGTCCTCCTTGCTTATGAGAGCTGTTATCTACCCCTGCTACTTCTGAACAGAGAGCTCGACAGCCGCGAAGGGAAAGGTGTGGAGCAGGCAGGGCTTGAAGAGCTCCGGAGCGCGAAGTGCTGCTGCCATCTGGAGTACAGGGCCTGTCACTGACGAGAATCTGCCTCGCACCGAGCTGACGCTTCAGACCTACAAAAAAACGTTCACGTTGGAGCTTCTGTATCTCTGTAGGTGACAAAGACGACAGAGCTCCAAGTGTCCCACGGGGCATGACATGCACTACTGCCGAGGAGGCGACAAGCCCTTTTCTAACCATTCTGCTCTCCTTCCGTTTTTCACTTTTTAGAGCTACGGAACGTGTTGTTTCACCGGCGTTTCTAGCACGGTCAGCGACGCCTCCGTGACGAGCCTGACACGCATGTGCAAACTTGAGGCTCCAGGGCGGCGGTGCGGCCCGCAGCCACCCCCCCCCGCCGTCCCCCCGGCGGAGGGCTGCCGCCCCTGTGGAGCCACTGAGGGGAGAGGCGGCTGCCCGTCGCGGAAGCAGCTGTGCTAACAGAGACCCGCGCCCGCCCCGCCCCGCCCCGGCTGTCCCTCGGAGCGCTGCAGGAGCCGGCTGGCGGCACCACCCCTTTCAGCCGTT